CAGTGTTCAGCTGCAACTAAGACATTGATTAGTGACTTGTTTTGCAATTAGCCACCAAAAGCATTTTTTGGGCTGGCTGCTGTAATTTGGTTGTGCACTGCGCAATAGTGGTAGTGTTTTGTCACTTGTCAAGTTGTCAGTTGTGCATGTTGCATGTTTCTCTTTCCTCGGCCCTCATTATCAGTTAAGTGGTGAATTGGCATCACTCAGTCTCCCCAGATCTCCATTGACTGTCTGTCAACCACCTAACTTGAGATAGTATTTGCTAATAGTGTCAGAAAAGAAGTGATTGTAGACATTTTTAGGAATATGAGCTCCGTTTCATGCGTGTTCCAGTGGTCATTTTGTCACATGTCCCATAGTGTAATAAATGGAAACTGTTGTTCCCTTTTGAAGGTACTCGCGGATGCAGAAAGCGTTGGGCCTAATTATTAAACGCACCCTCCTATCAGCGACGCACGAAATCGACAAATATCATCCTTTTTAGAACAGGAGGAAACGAAAACTTGTGAACATAGCTGTACCTACAACAGTGCATAAGGAATTGAAATTCTGGGAGTTTTTGAAATTCGGAGAAACTCAAGTTGTCCGTTGTCGACAGGTATGCCCCCTTGCACGTCAAAGACCGCCTAAAAAACAAACGTCTACAAATGAAGGCAGTATTCGTATGTTCGTTGTAATTGCAGCAGCCTAGCAACATGTATTGCGGTCCGATGGCGAATTGCACTCGTGCTCAAAAACTATGCCGGTAACTGGGGCGTTCCACGACAGATCGACCAAAAAAATCGCGAAATAACACCCTACCTCTCATATTTTGATGAAATTTCGTCTATGGGGTTATCTTGTCCGGCGATTCGTGTTGTGACATTTTCAATCTCATTCGTCCAATACTTTGGGAGATATTGCCCCAGGCAACTTAATGGCTACCATAAAAACTCTAAGTTTCATCCGCAAATATTTAGCTAAATACTGATTAAATTCATATAAAACTGCATATCATCACAATAAGAATTAACCAAAGATTTTGGTGATATCAATTATTTTTGAAAATTATGCTCTTTAATTTTTTTAACATAAAATTGATTTATAAAAATTAAATTTTGAGAACGTGGCCATCTTTTTTTACAATTTATTTTTGCAGCAAAAGTCTTGTCAACGCATTGACTTTCAATGATGAAAATATTGAAAACATGTTTTTCCCCTAAAGGTCGCTATACAACATTGAATTTCGTCGTACAGTGAAAAAAATAACAATAACTGTCAACCGGTCTAAACGGAGTACGGTGAAATGTGATCAAGAGCTCATTGCGACGCTGTTAATTCTTTTTAAAGATGCTTAAGACACCTACGAAAGCTAAGTTAGGACCCAAAGATCCAAAAACGTCATAATGGCGTATTGTTTTCAAGAGAGCGAGGTTTAACCCCCTGTGGCCGAGGGAGCGAATGCTAATCACCTTTGACGGTTTTCTCATCACTGCTGGGGACGCATTGGCGATAGAGTGCTGAAGCCGGAAAGTTATTACAAGTTATCTAGTTGATTTATCTTGTGACATTAAATGAACTTTCATATAAGGTCACTTTGCTGAACTATGACGTCACGTAAGTGAGCCTATCTAATGCTTAAAAATGTTACTATTGCGAAACGCCAAACAATAGTTTACGGAGAGAACGTATGTAATTCACGCATTCTTTGCAAGGTCCGATGCTTTAGTATTGCTGGTGGGCCTTGCATGACGTCATAATGACGCAACGTCATTTATGACGTCACTAACGCTGATTGAGTCGAGAGTTTTTCGTTAATAGATTCCTAACAAAATGACGACATTGAGGGGAGGGACATCAATGTACTGAGAATGAGCTGTCGAATCGACAGATACTTTTGCCGTAGGTCGGTATTATCTCAATTGACCAGTTTCGGGACCTGAAATATTTTGCCAGATACCGAAATGACGGTTCTGCGACCATTTAAGGGATTTATTGACCGAAAATTGGATCCCTGCCTCAAGGCATTTGACCTGACCTCAGAGGTTACCGGTTGCCGGAATGATAAAACTTGGTTTGGAAGAGGTCAGCTTAAGATGTTTTCCTCAGGTCGAGGCCACATCAAAACCGCTGAGGTCAAGAAGCTGTTCAAATGAGGCCATTTCAGCCGTTTTCACGACGGATATCTGACGAATCTAGCCAAATCTTTTACTACAGCTATTTTCATAACGTAATTTTATTCTTATGCTTGAGTAAAAAGTAACGACTGATAATTTGATAAATAAGGTCAATAAGCAACTAGCGCAACCTAAGCTAAAACAATTAAGAATCAACTATGAACCAAATTTGACCAAATCCCATCAAATATCAGTTAATGTGTGTCAGATAACCGTCGTGAAAACGGCTATTGTATGTATATGATTCAGTTCAGCAGGGTTCCCTGAGTTCACTGGTGACTTATTCGACTCGTTAGATAAATTCCATTCAGTCATTGACAAAAAGAAAACCGATGACCTCACACGACCGTACAATGTAACGGCATATACGGCGCATTGCAAGGTCCTCAATGCAAAACCTAAGAATCGCTCATCGCAAAAGTGTATGAAATCACGATTACAGGCGTTTGAGATGGGCTTGGATCATTTTCGGCATCCAAATAACAGTTCAAATGTTTCAATATTTCCCATTGACTTATATTAGTGAAGTCACGTGACCAGCTTGACTTCGGGTGAAAATTTAGGAAAGTTAGGGAAATTGATGTTGTGAAATCTCAAGAGCCGTTACTGCCGTTACTTGTGTCATCCCCTGCAAAAGGTTCTCTTACACTGAGAGTACAGTGCAAAGCTGCAACTTTTTGCATTATTCCGAGGTTTATTTGTGACGTCATATGTCAGTAAGCTGACCTGAGCCTGTTCTGTTGGTGTCAACAGATTCGGAATGTCAACTTTCAGCTCTCCAGCCTTACACCACTGCAAACAATATCGAGAAAACCGTTGGGGCTACACATCAAACCCTCCCCTTCGGCCGGGTGGGAATAAAAATACTATGAAAGTGAATGTTAGTGATACATGGAGCATCCCAAGCCACTAGCTACCTCGAAATGCATTAATTTCAAAACGTTAGAGATGCTTCCAGTTTCAAGAAAACAGAATTCAATATCGGCGAGTTTTCAAGTAGGTACTTGTAATTTTGTCACCCCCTCCCACTCTGACCTGGTCACGCCCCTGGCAATTGCAATCAATTACCTTCAAATGCCGCATTTTGGTACTCATATAATTTTTTTTTGTGGCAAATTTATTCATCAAAATTACTGAAAGTCCGTTATTACAAGGACAGAGCGAACTTCATGCGATTACTAGCTAGAGCCTTCTCCTCATTTAACTCTAACACAGCCTCGGCTCTTATGAACGGAAGTTGTGTAGGTATGTCCGGCCACAATGTCCGATTAGCAATTTTGATAATTCCTAACGTTTCATTGGCGGATCGAGCCGGACGTTTTTTTTTTTTTGGGGGGGGGGGGCAAATGGCCGAAATGGCCCCTTCCTTTCCATGCACCGCCATAGGCGCAATGTTAAAACTCGGGTTTTTGCGGGGGGGGGGGGGGGGGGGTAAACGGGCTTTGGGGGGAGCATGGCCCTACCCCCTGGATCCGCCAGTGTAACGTTTCACCAATGCAAGCTGCTTAGAAGCATATCAGAATTCAGAATTACATGCGAGGCGGCCGATATCAGTGTTCAGCTCATTTTTTTTTTTTTTTTGCCTGAACAATGTTCGAAACTACAGCGAAAGTGAAGCAAACATCATTCAATAATCGCATGCCTGGTCTGTGAGTGTGAGTGCCAGACTTTTATTTCTAATTTTCATGAAACAGTTCGAGGATATGTGGGTAGGAGAATGATTGGCTCTGGAAGGCATCACCAAATGTTCCCTTTTACTACAAACATTGTCGTAAACAAAAAATTATATAAAAAGTTAAAGGCAAAACATGTCTCTAATTTTTTGGACATTAAATTTCCATATCCAGAGGCATCTTTTGGCATAATATTTTTGTCAAAAATTAAATGGCCACCTTTTGAAAATCGAAAATCAAAAATTCATTATTTCAAAAAATCTTGCGATTTTGAAAATTTTCAAAATATTTTGGTTGGATAATTTTCTACTGTCAATGATGATTCCAATGATATGCATATTAATGTAGGTTACTGGCTATATTTTTTGATAATACGAGTTTAAAAGAGGGTTACTCTGGGCATTTTGAAAAATGCCTCTGGCTATAACTCGTAAACCCTTCGTAGTATAACGCTAAAAATAAGAGATTATGAATCTACGGTACGGATAACCCCCTAGACGCAATTTCATCAAAATCTGAGAGGTAGGGTGTTATGGCTTGGTCGATCTGTCGTGGAACGCCCCAACTGCCAATGCACTTAGGTCATAGGTGAGGAGAGGAAGGGTTATGTCATATGTCAACATCATAGAAATGGCTTCATCTGAGCTGTGCCTATTGTACATAATTCAACCAATCTATGCATTTCGTTTCTTGCAATCTACTCATGCTTTCATTCCAGCTTCAGAGTAATCATCCCATATTGTACGTCTTAAGATATTGATTTCTATGGCGGTTTGCAATTACTAGCCACGTCTCACCTCAGTTTGGTGGCCCCGCATCGGCCCACTCGGCTGCTCTAAAATTGACTTACGGAGGAGGATGGTGGCTTTTATTTTAGCTTCTCCGCCGACTGCGGGGAGCGCCGTCGCCGAGGTAGGAGCAATAATTAGCTTATGTTTGGGACTAATTTCCACGCTTAATTAACATTTTAATGTTTTTTTAATTAATTCATGTTAATCCTTGACGCATTCTCTTTCTATTGATACCATCCACCGGTCTGAGAATTACTGCCTTGCTGCGTAAGGGCCGATAAAAGATCACGCTTTTAGGGGTATCTCTTCAACATGGGGCAGGAGCAATAAATAGAGTGCTCTAATTTTAGCTTATTTCCCTGGTATGTCACCAACTGAAACTGAAACGAAAACTTCTCGGCCTTGTTGACGCGGGCTACTGTTTGAACCTGAACTGATTTGTGTTGGATTTGTGTAATATACCTTTTCTTCCAGCGGTTGGTATTTCAGCGCATTGGCTTGGCAGTGCATTTTACAAGATACCTATAAGCATTTTATTTCCTTTTTGGTGGGTGTTTTTGTTTTTTGTTGTTGGCTGAATCATAGGCGTCGCCAGAGATTGTCGGTTGGGGGGGGCAAAATCAACTTTTGTGTCAAAAACTTGCCTTTCCCCAGTCTTTACTCACTCGTTTTACATATCATTCGACGCGCAATGGTGCGAGGAATCCGATGGTGACAAAGGTTTCCTTCTAGCTATGACATGTAATTTTTTACAGAAAAATTCGAAATTTTGAAATTTCATAACAAAACGACTGGTAGAATTATAGTGGCTGCGATTGCCGACGCACTGCAGAGGGCCCCTGTGCAGACGCTCGACGCTCATGATCCTTACCCATTAAGGGGTGAAAAACGCTCCATTTAATCGGATCACCCTGCTAGAACCTCCATTCACGCATGCATGCAGAAGTTTTACGTGAAATGCATAGGACTTATCCCAGCCGCCGATCGTAGCTAAGTTGGGCATTCGGCGGAGAGTGAATGTCGGAAGTGTGAATCGGAATTCGGAAGTAATTCATCTTTGCTTCAGTGAGATGAAGTGTTTTGTTCACTCGAGTGTGAACAAAAGTTTCTCGTTTTTCGTGTGAAGGGAAGCGCTGCAAACGCGAACAAAAACTGTTCAACGGAACCAAAAGTAACGCACGGCATAGCGGCAAGGGATCCCGTAGAGATAGGTTTGTGACTTCCAGGCCATTTCAGGCCACTCAGGGTCAGTGCTGACTCTCAGAAGCCTGCTTAGGATCCCGGAGATCGACGTGGGTCACCTCAAATATTTACGTGTACGTGGTGCTTTAGGGCTTTCCGAGCCCAAGGTGGGGCCCTCAGAAGCAGTGTGGGCGGCGGGCGCTAAGAGACTAGGCCCAAGGTGAGCCTGGAGCCCTCGGATAGCAGTGTGAACCCTCGGGGTCTGTGTCGAATCCCTAAGGACCCTACGTAGGGACATAATAAACATGTGTTGCGGACCTCGGAGGGACACGTGGGCTGTGACCCCTCAGATGCCGGCTTGGGGTTGGCAAAGTCTGTCGCCTCAAAAATTTGGCTGAACTATCAGAGGCCAGTTAAGGTTCTCAGAAATGTTTGAAGGCTCAAAGATCCCTGTATGGGCCCTCAGAGAACATGAACACCAGTGGGACTTTCAGAGGCCGGTTTGGGCCCTCTGAAAGCTTCTTTAGGGCTCACTGGAGCTCCTTAGGAGCCTTTGTTTAAAGCAAGCTCATGAGCCCTGCGACACTTGTACGGTAGGTACTTGAGCCTGTCGCAGACATTTGACGAGTTGAGAAAGGCCCCGAAGATTTCGTTTCACGCTTTGAACGAAAATTGTGTCAGCACTCCAAAACTTATGAAAATCAGCTGTAAAATGTAATAAAGAACGAACTAGGAACATGTAATGAATCAAAGCATTGACATTTCCGAGTCTGGACTCGGAGTCTTGAAGATTTTGGCGACTGCAAGTCAGACTCTGGTTTGAACTGCACGCTCAAACCGAGTCTGACCTCACAGGCATTCTCAGAAAGGTACCCCCATTTTTTCCCGACTCCAAAATCTCATCGGATCTGTATCGATCTCAGGGGGTGCCCGGTCCGAGGTTGGGGGGGGCAAGCTGCCCCGCTTGCCCCCCCGTGGCGACGCTAATGGGCTGAATATATCAATATGGTTTTGCATCAATTTTTCTCCTCTGACTTCATCACCAATGAAAACTGCCTACCTCAACTTTCGTTTTTTGATAACTAAAATGGTGGAAGTCATAGCTCATTCTCAAAATCAATTTAACACAGAGTTCCATTTTTCAGGACTTTGGTGGAAAATCACTACTCTTGGGGAAATATTTGCATCCCCAGAATCAGAAAAAGCATCATTATTTCACCCGTTAAAAAAGTTCCATGTATTCGAAACCAAAGCTACATATGACTTAACAGTTGGATGCATCAATGTCCTCCTTTTCCTTCATATCCTGGTGGTGTTTCACCGGCGATAGCAGCACGATGCTCTTACTACGTGTCATATCAATATTGGGTTTCCATGGAGACGTCAACGGTCAACAAGCCCATTGCTCCAACACTACCACAAGTGCGATGTCAGCAGAATAGCAGCATGCTGCTATCACAGGTGAAACACCACCCCTGTCAAGATCCTGACATGAAATCCTGCTTTATCAAATGGTGTTAAAAATGATCTTACACCCTTTTGCAAAAATACAAATGAAAAATATTTGCACACCCTTTTAAAAAAGTATTTCAATTTATTTTTCCCTTTTCTCATTCTAGGACATGTTTTTCTTCATCGGCACAGACGGCACACCCAGCCAAAAGCCAATTTTAGATTTAATGATGTCAAGTACCATCACTGAAAGGAAATAGTTCACTTTTTAACATGGGTTTTGAACTGGAATAGCAGTTCCGTAGCTTGGGCTGAGACGAGCATAAATCAGGAGCTTTTACAGCCCAACGATCACCCTAGGCAAAGATATTCTTGATATAGATAGACAAATTGAATTATAAGTGGAAAACAATGGGAACGTTTTTGGTTATATTACTTTAAGTTGGCTACACATGTGTTTCGATATACATCTTTTTCAAGCCATAAAGACAAAATAAAATGTAAATAATTCGCCTAAACATCAAAGCTGTCAAAATAGTTTGCGGCACAGATTAAAATTCAAATAGCAATGCTTCACACCCGTCGCTTATCACTTTGCACTTCTAGTTTTTAGATCGTGCAAAATAAGTTCAGCCGTAAATCTGCTCAGTTTCACTTTTCCTGCATTACCATTTAGATTGTCAAAGATGTGAATATAAGCTGCTTCTACAGCCTGCCTATGCTTCTTTGTCAAACCCCTACACAACACAGACATATCATCCCAGTTGGGGAGATGTCCCGCCTCATCTACGTGTTGCACAAGGGCGTTGGACAGACGGTGGTACCTAAGGTCACTCTTATGCTCCTTTTGCCTGGTTTTAATGCCCCTGTATGTTTCACCGACGTAACATTTATCACATGCACCACAAGGAATTTTGTAAACGACACTATCCTCATTAGTAGAACCTTTCTTCTTCGTTTGCACAAGGTTTTTAATGGTCAGGCCCGCTGGGGATGAAATATTGATAGTTTCTCTTACAAAATTGTCCACAGCTTCTACTTCTTTTGATGCTGGGACTGAGAGATACCTCCTCTTGCTATTCCTTGTGGCGTTTGAAGCTCTAGCTCGTATTTTGACGGCCCTCTTCTCTAGCTGACATAAAAGACCTGGCGGGTACTTGAGTCCAATAAATACTTCTTTAATGTAGTTCAGCTCGTCCCTGATAAATTCTTCTGAGCAAATGCGAAGTGCTCGAAGATAAAATCCCAGCACGACTCCAGTTTTTGTTCGACTGCTGTGCGCCGAGTAGAAGTGTATCAGGTCATTCTTGTTGGTGGGCTTCCGGTACACTGAAAATACAGCCTTGTTGCCCCGATTATGGATGCACGCGTCCAGAAATGCAATAGTGCCATCTTCCTCCTCTTCGGAGGTAAATTGTATCTTCTGATGCACACTGTTCAGCTGCTGCAAAATACAATTTAAATCCACATCTTTGTTGATGATGACCAGAATGTCATCGACATACCGGAGCCAGGTCGTATCGGTACCAGCAATGCTCAAGAAGTGGTCCGCTTCTAATGTCTCCATGAAAAGGCAGGCGAGTACCGGGCTCAACGGCGAACCCATCGCCAGGCCATCAATCTGCTTGAATTCTGCTGTACCCGCCAGGTCTTTTATGTCAGCTAGAGAAGAGGGCCGTCAAAATACGAGCTAGAGCTTCAAACGCCACAAGGAATAGCAAGAGGAGGTATCTCTCAGTCCCAGCATCAAAAGAAGTAGAAGCTGTGGACAATTTTGTAAGAGAAACTATCAATATTTCATCCCCAGCGGGCCTGACCATTAAAAACCTTGTGCAAACGAAGAAGAAAGGTTCTACTAATGAGGATAGTGTCGTTTACAAAATTCCTTGTGGTGCATGTGATAAATGTTACGTCGGTGAAACATACAGGGGCATTAAAACCAGGCAAAAGGAGCATAAGAGTGACCTTAGGTACCACCGTCTGTCCAACGCCCTTGTGCAACACGTAGATGAGGCGGGACATCTCCCCAACTGGGATGATATGTCTGTGTTGTGTAGGGGTTTGACAAAGAAGCATAGGCAGGCTGTAGAAGCAGCTTATATTCACATCTTTGACAATCTAAATGGTAATGCAGGAAAAGTGAAACTGAGCAGATTTACGGCTGAACTTATTTTGCACGATCTAAAAACTAGAAGTGCAAAGTGATAAGCGACGGGTGTGAAGCATTGCTATTTGAATTTTAATCTGTGCCGCAAACTATTTTGACAACTTTGATGTTTAGGCGAATTATTTACATTTTATTTTGTCTTTATGGCTTGAAAAAGATGTATATCGAAACACATGTGTAGCCAACTTAAAGTAATATAACCAAAAACGTTCCCATTGTTTTCCACTTATAATTCAAAGATATTCTATTTTTCGTCCCGGAAAAGGTGTCTTGCGTTGAGGATGTGTGCCTTGCATATATTTCCATCCAGTATGAAAAGAGCATGGGTCCCGAAAATTCTTCAGAAACTAGAGAAATTATCTACGAGAACTCTAGACAAATTCTCGTACTGATCAATTAGGACATTCAGGGGAACATTATCAGATCGAGCAGATCGCCCAAATGCCGGTGGCTGCGATAATTTCTCTGTTTCTGAAGAATTTTCGGGACCCATGCTCTTTTCATACTGGATCGCGTGTGCCTTACAGAAACTGAAAAGTTCTTCCTATATCAAAATATAGAAAATAATATTTTGTTATAAAAAGGTTTTATTTTCTTTGCTGATTATTTTGAACATAAAAAATCATAAATCCGTTGCAAAAAAAATAATTTCGTGAAAGTGAACTATTTCCTTTAATGGTGTCACGACCCTGATTCAACATGTTGAGTGATCTCTACACAACTAAAACTTTTAGTTTAAAAGTGTTGACAGGCATTGCTTTTGTTGTTAATCTTACCTTACCAAGCATTGGCACCCTGACGCTGACTTCGTTCCCTGGTAGGTGCCCCTGCCTGCCGCAGCAATGGCGGACGCCAGTCGCTCAGAGCTGAAGCTGAACTCACCGCCCGAGGACGGCATATCGGCAGTCAAGTTCGGGCCGACGTCGTCCCAGTTCCTGCTGGTCTCCTCGTGGGACAGCACGGTGCGCCTGTATGACGTGGTGTCCAATACCCAGCGTCTCCAGTACAGCCACTCGGCGCCAGTACTCGACTGCTGCTTCCACGATGCGGTGCACGCGTGGAGCGGCGGCCTCGACCAGCAGCTCAAGGTTGGTACGACGCGGCCAGCGGACAGTCGACGCAGGCAGCAGTCACAGTCAACACAGCCAACACAGTCAACAGTCACAGCCAACAGAACACAGTACTAGCTATTACGGTCCAGGCGATCACAGGCAACTGTTCGGTCACGGAGCTGACTAATGTGGGACCGATTCCCTTCTTCCATATCATGATAAAGAGAGTACACGTGCAAGCTTTGTTACATAGAAATAGCCGTCACTTTCCCCACGTGTCGGCACCGTCCACCGACCCGGCGGGTCGGCGGACCGGTCCTACATTGTGCAACCACCCTGCATATAACGCACAGGCACTGGCGAATCAGAATCAGAACCACAGTTGCAATACAAGTCTCGGCCCGCTCAGTCGTCTCTCCTTCCGCGCCTCCGCGACAATATGTGGGACCGATTCCCTTCTTCCATATCATGATAAAGAGAGTACACGTGCAAGCTTTGTTACATAGAAATAGCCGTCACTTTCCCCACGTGTCGGCACCGTCCACCGACCCGGCGGGTCGGCGGACCGGTCCTACATTGTGCAACCACCCTGCATATAACGCACAGGCACTGGCGAATCAGAATCAGAACCACAGTTGCAATACAAGTCTCGGCCCGCTCAGTCGTCTCTCTCCTTCCGCGCCTCCGCGATAATGGTGGCAGCGGCGGTCGAGGGGACTTGTGCCCCTCACCACGGACCCCAGCCTCTACATCTGCACTGACATCGCAGACTGGTTAGTCCGTGCTCCGTGACGGTGTATCGCCCCTACGTCACGTCATCGACTAGGGAGCTGACCATCCTGGACTCGTCATCGTCCGACATCACCGTCTCCAGTGAGTAGCTCTGCCCGGCAATACCATCTGCCCTGCGGCAACGTCATCAGCTGCCCTGGACTACTACGGAGCCCGCCGACAGCGCACGGCTCATCAGCCCGCGCCGTCCTCCTCACCGTCATCGAGTGATGGACACCACCTCGCTGAAGGACTCAAGATCGGAGGAGAGAAGATAAAACAAAAACTTCAACGCTAAATTCAGGACAAATTGGCACCGAAATCAAGAAAATTCACCCATTATGAACTTTTGCTGTATTTTCGTCAAAAAGTGACAGTGAAATTGTGCTGTGAAATTTGTTTTAACTTCGATGTGTTTCAAAAACCGTACTGTTTCATTATCCGTTTTCGTCAGTGTTCTGTCGTTTGTTGCGCTTCATTGTGGTTGCTCACCCCAAAATTTACGGAGAAATTGCAAGTGCATTTAAATTTTGCCTGCACTTTGCCGTGTCATTTTGACACTAGTACCTAAGCATACAAAGAGCATATTCTGAAGTCGGTATGAACATTCAAATACGTTAATCGTGGTCAATTCACTGAAATTATATTGTATTGATATTCGGCCAAAGATGCCGAGGGCCATGGAGATGCCCAGGGACGGTCCCCGCCAAGAGTGCGGAGGGATCGCCCGGTAGTAGGTGTAATTGTCACGAAACTTACTTATCTGTTCATACCATTTTGTGATACGCTCATATGGAAATTTCTTTCTCCGTCAGCTAAACGTTTCCTCTCTTTGTTATGATCGCTTCGGTTCCCTACGCTTCCCTGGGGGAGGGAAGATAATGTGGGACCGATTCCCTTCTTCCATATCATGATAAAGAGAGTACACGTTCAAGCTTTGTTACATAGAAATAGCCGTCACTTTCCCCACGTGTCGGCACCGTCCACCGACCCGGCGGGTCGGCGGACCGGTCCTTCATTGTGCAACCACCCTGCATATAACGCACAGGCACTGGCGAATCAGAATCAGAACTACAGTTGGAATACAAGTCTCGGCCCGCTCAGTCGTCTCTCCTTCCGCGCCTCCGCGACAGTGGCTGTCATGGGGCTGCAGTGTTATGATCGCTTCGGTTCCCTACGCTTCCCTGGGGGAGGGAAGATAATGTGGGACCGATTCCCTTCTTCCATATCATGATAAAGAGAGTACACGTGCAAGCTTTGTTACATAGAAATAGCCGTCACTTTCCCCACGTGTCGGCACCGTCCACCGACCCGGCGGGTCGGCGGACCGGTCCTACATTGTGCAACCACCCTGCATATAACGCACAGGCACTGGCGAATCAGAATCAGAACCACAGTTGCAATACAAGTCTCGGCCCGCTCAGTCGTCTCTCCTTCCGCGCCTCCGCGACACTAATCAGCCACAGTCAGTCGACTGACCCGACACATTCTAACCATTAGATTAAAGCAGCTGTGATGGAAGAGACACAGCAAAGTTTTCTTGTACCTAGTGTATTGGTTGCCCGACGCCTTCAACGCTGTTTGGAATAATTAACATGGCCGTGGTCTGTCAAATACCTGTTAAAAATTGTGGTGTAAATAAGTTAAAACAGTGACCACTCTTTTTTTGCCTTCCCGTGAGTTCCCAAGATAATGAGTGGACGTTTCTCCGGTAGGTGTTTGACTTCAACACCAGCACGGAGACGGTGGTGGGCCAGCACGGGGCACCGATCCGCTGCGTCGAGTACGCCGCCGAGGCCGGCGTGGTGGTCACCGGCGGCTGGGACAACTACGTGAAGCTCTGGGACCCGCGCCAGCAGCGCGGCACCGGCGTGCACGCCCAACCCGACCGGGTGTACGCGCTGAGTACGTGCGCCGACCGGCTGGTGGTGGGCACCGCCGGCCGCAAGGTGCACATCTGGGACCTGCGCAACATGGCGCAGCCGCTGCAGAAAAAGGAGGCGTCGTTAAAGTATCAGACTCGCTGCATCCGCTGCTTCCCCAACAAGCTCGGCTACGTGCTGAGCTCAATCGAAGGCCGAGTCGCCGTCGAGTACTTCGACCCGAGCCCCGAGGTGCAGAAGAAAAAGTACGCCTTCAAGTGTCACCGCATCAAGGAGGCCGGCATGGAGTACGTGTACCCGGTGAACGCCATCAGCTTCCACAACCAGTACAACACGTTCGCCACGGGCGGCTCGGACGGCTACGTCAACATCTGGGACGGCCTCAATAAGAAGCGTCTGTGCCAGCTGCACCGCTACCCGACGTCCATATCGTCGCTGGCGTTCTCTCCGGACGGCAGTGTCCTGGCCATTGCCAGCTCGTACCTGTACGAGCAGAAGGAGACGCCCGACTACATCCCCCCAGACGCCGTCTACATCCGGCACGTTACCGACCAGGAGGCCAAGCCCAAATAGTGCGGAGCGCTCACTGTACCGTCGGCTCAGGACCAACGCAGCGCCAGCTCCGACCGCACCGGCAGGGGAGGGGATCCAGAGACAAACAGATGGCGCTGGCGTAGCCGTGAATCTGTGTGAGTGAGAGCGTGTGCGACGATGTTCATGTGAACGAAACGGGGCTATATGATGGAATTGTGCCCATTTTGCATGCTTGTGTGAATCTACTCTGCCGCTCGCATCTCAGAGTGCCCGAGCCGAGCGGTTGTGTCTGATTTAGGGGATAAAGGTGTGTGGTTTTAACGCCGTGTGTCTGTCTCATGGCATCAATCATTTTCTGCCGGCGCTGCGGCGCCCGTCATACGTCCATTCGTTTCCCTCCCCATCCCCATACTGCCTGCAGTGGAATGCCATCGCCCCTCCCATTTTCATTAAGTGTGTTCATATGCTGAAATTCTGGTCAAATATATTGTGACGTACTTCTCAGTGCAATTTGCTCTTGAGTGCTGCTTGATTTTTACACGACTTGCTGCCGGTGACAAGTCATTTTTTTTTGCCTTGGAAGTCTGAATGCATCCACAAATGTTTTATAAACGAGGTAACATGTATATAACGAATGTATTTAGTGTCATTTCCTTCATATGATAAACTGTACCAACCTGCTGGTGGCCTGAGAGTGACACCACAGAGAAACTTCAATCACACTAACGAAAAGAGGGCCTCTCTGACATCGACACGAACGAACAGCAACAGTGATCGCGAGTCTCTGGCTCGTCACCCTCTGACTGGACACAATGACGATGTGCTGTGGGCGTCATGGCTATAGTTCGGCAATAAGACCGAGAGTCACCGGCCGCTCCCGCTAGCTAAGTCTCACTCGTCCCGAAATGCTGCTGTGTGAATGACGCCGAACGTCAGACCGACCCAGTTACCATAGCGCTGAACGATCACTGACCATCAAATGAGCGAATGCCCCTTACTAACTCCACCTTACCTTGGTAGCTCCGTGCTGCAATCATATCTACTACTTTAGGACAAACCGATTGCCTTACAAAAACACTCAAACACTTTTAAAGCCGGGCACGGACCCGCCCGTAAGTAAAGGTGCCATAAGCCGAGTTGCGACGGGGTATCTCGACCAGTCTTGGCACCGCCGTGGGTAGAACTAGAAGGCAGAGACATCTATAGGCTGCATGCAGAGTCACCTAGCGACGACGGTTCAAAACAGCCAGATGCAGCAGACCTCCCCGGAGCGGGCGCAGCGAGCTCGGGTGTAACGAGGCGCGGCTCCGCACCTCTCGCTCGGCACGCAGTCGCCACCAAACACTCCGCACGCGGCTGCGTGCTGAGAAATGTCTGTGGAAAGAAATGGAAAGCACGTGATTAGACTTACAGGCGACAACGTAGAGAATAGGTTCGGTGATTGTCAATTCCGCATCGACATAGGACGCCTGATCAGTACCGACTATCAACCTGCACGTCGCCATCTTATCATCATTGATAAACGCTTGTCGCTTGACCAGTCAGGATCAAGCTGCTGGTATAGCCTGATATTCTTGATAATTTTAAAATGCACGGTTGTTAAGTACCTAACAATTAAGCGAACGTTCGAACAGTGTGGTGTTGTGTCTCGTGATATAATGTTCGAGGCCAAAATAAAATGTTTTGCGTGTGCAGAAGAAAATCGCAATTATGATTTTCGCCACGCTGAATCACCGAGGGTAGCACATATCTACAGAATCCAGGGCGGCACTGACCTTTGAAGCAGCACTCGTAGCCCTCTTTGTCACAGATGCCCTCGAACGGCTGGTTCCACCTGTTCTCGGCGTTGGGACACTGGTCCGCCGGGATGCACTCCCCGCCGGCCTGGAGACACTCGGCCGCATTGGTAGGGGGAGCGATCACCACCGCATCGTCCAGCGGGTCTCCAGCCGGGGCGAGCGGCTGCTCCGGGGTAGCTGGCTGCTCCGGTGCGGGAGGCTGCTCCGGAGCCTGCTTCGGAATGACTGGCTTCTCCGGGATGGTTGGCTGCTCTAGAGCCTGTTCCGTGGTAGACGGCTGTTCCGGGATAGACCGCTGCTTCGGAGCCTGGCGGGCCTCCGGGGAAGGCTCAGGCTCCGGCGTCGGCTCCGGCTCGGGTGAAGGCTCTGGCGCCGGTTCTGAGGAAGGTTCAGGCTCCGAGGAAGGCTCCGGCTCGGCTGAAGGCTCTGGCGCCGGTTCTGTGGAAGGCTCAGGCTCCGGCTCGGCTGAAGGCTCTGGCGCCGGTTCTGTGGAAGGCTCCGGCGTCGGCTCCGGCTCCGAGGCCGACTCTGGCTCTGGTGAAGGCTCCGGCTCAGGAGCTGACTTTGCAGCGCCTTCAGGCTTGCCTGCAGATAATTTCCTTGTACCTGACAGACGAGTCGTTATTTAGTCATAGGTATTACTATAACATACTAAATAAATAGATAAAAACAGCAATATTATCCGTTCTTGTTGGCCACCACTTCCTGATTTGAGGATGTTTATTTCAAATTTGGACTATTACTATGACCGAATCTGAATCACATTCCGAGCAGTTACGGCAGCTAAGCCTTTATGCGACATTTAAGCAAACACTGAGTTGCATATGCCTAATAGCCTACACACGGGTGTCACTTTCCAATATTTATTGGTACATACCTATTATGAGGTTATCCGTGGAGCCAACAAATAACTAAATAAAATTACTTTTAGTTTTATTGACGTTTCGGTTCCAAGCAACCTTTTCAGAATTACAATTTATAGGTATACGTATCAAAATGATACGAATATTGATTTTTGATATATACTATTTAATCTAATGATACGTATTTTAATGATACGTATTTTATAAACAATACATACGTATTTTAATGATACGCATCATTTTGATACGTATGCTTACATTTTAACTTGTAATTCTGACGAAGGTTGCTTGGAACCGAAACGTCAATAAAAGTAATTTCATTTAGTCATTCGTTGGCTCCACCGATAACCTCCTAACACAAATATGTCCTTACCTACATAATCATTATTTATTGGTATACGGCTCTAATGTTTAATTTTAGGAAACCAAAGCCATTTTTACCATGCAGCCCCATAGGGTAAATGTTAAAATTATGTAGGTAATTATTGGTAGGGCACGGGCCCTACCGAGCTTAGGTATAGGGTAGCCTGGGGCAAGACGCCCCAGATAATTTATTTTGCTACATAAATTTTGTCCCACATCACCTGAAAGGCCAAATTTGTGCTCAATGCGTTCTTTGGACATTTTACTTTAAATTGCACCCCTCAAATTGATTCACTTATGATCGGACTCCAAGCTAGGAAGTGATTTGTGAAGCAACTGCAAATGGGGCATTTTGCCCCAACCCCAGGGCAAAACGCCCCACGGCCTGGGGCAAGTAGCCCCATACCTTAGATTAAAGATTTAACATGGTAGTTGGCTAAATCTTATGTGAGAGGTCCGTTAGACCTCTGGAGGCACGGCACTGAAGCTAGCACATTCCATCCTGTCAGGTGCTCAGCATATGACACTGTTGTATGAGCAGGTTTTTCACCTACCTCATAAGACCAAATAATAAATTATTGCAATGCAAATGTTAACAAAATACTTCCTTTGCCATCCAGTTGCTGAGAAAAATACACATAAAGGCATAGAAACTTACTGTTCGCCAGCTATCGAACATTAGAAAGTGGGTAGCCCCAACAACACAAGAGGTAAAACGCCCCAGGGGCTTTTTGCCCCGCGACCTACTGGGGCGTTTTACCCCATCACGTAGTTCGGTCAGAGAACAACGCCTTGCACTCCAGTAAGACATAATTTAACACGAACCAACCCGGCATGATAAGCGTTAGACAATAGTTGCTCAAAATACATAAAAGTCGTTAATTAACCTAATGTGGACCATAAAAGAACGCCATGATTCATAATCTGACAACAAAACATAAAAATCACTCAAAAAACACATTTTTGGCTATATCTCCCGAAATAGTCATCACAATTTCTTTCCAGTCTGCTCATATAATGATCATATAGTGCACGTTTTATAGAAGAGATGATGTTTCCCCAGAACCCTGCCAGTTCCGAGAAACATCGGTGAGGCGTTTTACCTCGGCGGGGCGACTTGCCCCGGTCTACCCTACGCTCAGCTCAGGTAAATACCAAAACGACACCCATGAGCTTATATAACGATTGATGAATGTTGCACCTAATCCTTTTCCGTCGGTTGAAGTGTTTGAATTTGTTGGATTGATGCCTGCCCGAGATTTAAGCAATATAACCACAGCCTACACTAGGCGCGTACAGGTGCTAAAGCATGGGGCTGAATGGTGCGGTAACGACTCAACATGCAGGATCAAATAAGATGGTTTCACGTAAAGACCCGCAAAAACTATTATCTATCTTATGTTGACATAAAGCGCACAAGAACTTCATGCAATGTCACAACTCACAAGTATCTACCTAGATCATAAAAAGGCCAAGACATGTGCATATGCATGAGAGGAACAACAGCTTAAGTCTGAAAACCAAATACCAATGAATAAATTGAGCGGAAGGTTCTGTAGAGAACGCAAAGACTGACCGTGCTTAGGGAATCCGCCGACTGCAGTTGTCAGCAGGACCAGCAGGAGGGGCAGCAGCAGCGCCGACGAGCGAGCCTTCATGGTGACCGCGATCAGCACACTGAGAGCTACTGAGCGACCGCGAGCGATCACCAGACTGACTGCAGAGCTGCTGAGCGACCGCGAGCGATCAGCAGACTGAGAGCTACTGGGCGACCGCGAGCGACCAGCAGCTGCACGAGGGTGACCCTGCCTGTGCGCGACCGCTGCGGGATCCTTTCACCGGCACTGGTGACGTCATGTGTTTGTCTGTGACGTCACCGGACCTTGATTCGCGACGCAGACGGCCCCGCGACGCGCCAGTTCCCGGAAAATGAATCTGTGTTTTGAGTGGAACGAACACAACATCAACATGCAGCCCAGCGGAATGTATTTTGGAGAAAAGGCTATGGCATGCTACCGAGTACCTAGGTATGTAGTACTCCAATTCCGACGTCCCAAAGCAAGTTTATGCAGTTGATCGACATTGATGTTTTGTCCACGAATAATACCAGTAAAACGCCTTTTGGGCGAAGAACGAGCGAGCGAGATAGTGAGCCCTGCACGTGCAGAAGGGCGAGAGGGTACTTCCAACGGGCTTGTGCAAAGCACCCTTCTAACCGGTCGCTAGCGGTGTACCAAATTTGAACGCAATCGGCCCAGCCGTTCCTGAGATCTGGAAGCGGCATTCTGCACGTGCGCACGTGCAAACGGGGTCCAAAATGACTTTTGCACGGCACCCTACTAACCGGTCCCCAACCGTGTACCAAATTTGAGCGCAATCGGCCCAACCGTTCTCGAGATCTGGAAACGCCCCCTGCACGTGCGCACGTGCAGTAGCACCCTAACCACAACACATGGGAATGCATTGCCTGGTGGGTGCCTACCTGTATGCCAAGTTTCAGCGAAATTGCCCCAGTAATTACTGAGTTACTGAAATGGGAACAAATTTGGCACCTCTTATTGTTGTATTTTGCACGTGCAGTGGGGGTCACTCACATAGATGAAGAGTATCCGACCTTTGGTAGAAGGGATGCAGCTACCCTATAAAAATGACCGCAAGACAATCGCTCAAGCCGCTGCTGAGATATGGGCCTCTCAAAATCATTACTTTTGCAAAACTGCTTGAACACCCTTGACTTTTCACGTGGCACGTGCCACGGCGGTCACTGAGATGTATCAAAAGTAGTCAATTACGGGGTAGAAGGGAAGGGGCTACCCAGCAAAAAAGACCGCAGGCCATTCGGTCCAGCGGTTGCTGAGATATAAGCCTCTCAAAAGCGTTACAGGCCGGGCCGGGCCGGGCCGGGCCGCTCATACTGAGATTTTTCCGTTATATTGAAAAGACTAACTTCGCTCGCTGCGCTCGCTCGCTCGTAATCAAAAACCTCTTGCGGATAATACCTATTTGGAGGTGACATGGCCGTTCTACATATAGGTACGACATATCATAGGCATGCGAATCATTAGATCACATCTTAAGCCCTTGTTACACTGCCGAATTTTGGTACACGAATGTGCACGAATATGCAAGTCATCCTATGTCGCGGACCGATTCGGGATCTTTCCTCCAATGTCTTGGCATTTCGCAGACCAGTCGGTGTCCACCGCGCGACTTTTACGGTTCGTCACGACCACCACGAATATTTCATGAAAAATGAAAATTTCGTGGCCGTTCGCCGAACTTATAATAAACGAACATGATCGCCAAACAGTTGCCGAGTCGCCGCCGACATGTCGCTGCGTGCGCCGACTTGTTGCCAAGGTATCGCCGACTATTCGCAACAGATTCGCCATTCATTCGCGATGTTCGCCGAATCATGGATCAGCTTTGACCCGCGCACGATTAGGGGGGCCCCCACCCGTTTTCTGCAAATCGGGCTCTGTCGGCGAACTGTTCGCCTCTGTCGTTGAACTGTTCGCCGATTTCCTACACGACGTGATTCGGCGACAGGGTCGTGACCAAAATTCGGCAGTGTAACACGGCCTTTAGACCTTCTCACCTGTCTACCTTTGACTAACCACCTGCAGACTACTCGTAGAGGTCTATATGTGCATAACCCTTTCGATACGACTGTCCTCACATCACTCTGAGACGATTCCGTACCTCCTATTCCCTGCGGAGAGTTTTCTGGGAATTTCGCAACACTTCGACTGGGGATTTCACTCGAGTAAGCGGATTAGGCGCGGTCACTCTACTGAGAATCGGTTACCTAACTGCCGCATGCAGTCGCCTTGACACAGTGGCCGGCGCGGCTGCAGCAGCTCCTTGACCTCTGCTGATTTTACATACACTAGACTCCGTCGGTCGGCAGTGTCAGTGAGCTAACTACAATATTATTCCAATGCTTGTTTTTGAATGAACATTCTAAACACATTTATTGAGGTTACACATCGAATGATATTTGTGATATCACAAAGAATGGATACAAATTGTTTTCATAAAACTGATCACACGTGTAGGGGGATTTTGCGCCCCTTACCAAATGCATGCCCGCACTAGCAATCTTCCCAAACCATGTGCAAGTTCAATATTTTGGTTTCGGAAGCACGGCTCACATTATGCAATGCCTAATTACTTTTCACTGTTTTGAGCTGTTAGTCATATAAACGTGCGCTTAAATGTTTTATTTCAAAAGTACTATGATCTAGGAAATGAAAACGTTATGATTAACCTTCGCCCCAGTGTGGGGGGGGGCATATGTTACCACCCTGTCGCGTTTTTTGCGTGTAAATAAAAACCGCGGCGCGTAGCGCCGCGCCGCTTGGGGTAGCTTTTGGTACATCAATTTTGGACAACGTGTGAAATTTTTGACCCCAGGTCATGTCAGGTCAGGTCACCAGGTCAAGTTAACTGACCAAGCCTAAAAAAGTTTGCAATCATGTCCAGCTTGCAGTGTTTGTCAGAGAGGTTTTAAACTTGGTGGATTGCGTGATGTTATGGGCGCCTACAATTTGTATATCTCGGATTTTTTATATCCGTGACCTAAGATCAGGTCAGTGACGTGACCTTTCCATTATAAGTCAATGGAGAAAAATGAAAATGCCTCTAGATCCGTGTGTACGCATAGGAACAGTCCAAATATTTCAGAATCACAATGATTTGGACCACCCGTGACGACCAAGGTGTCTTTTTTGCTGATAGCCTCTAGAAAGGTCATCCGAGGTCATTTGAGGCTACAAACAGATTTTTGCCAATAACTTTCGATTGGAAAGAGATAGAACGCTGGGGATGGTCTCATTGTGTTTGTCTTGCCGAGACGCATCGACTGATATGCAACATGACCTTTTCCGGTCAGGTCATGACCTTGACCTGAGGTCAAATTTTCAAGTTGAAGTTTTCAAGGTCAAATTATAGTTCATTCGATGCGTCTCGGCGAATGGAACATGATTCTGGCAATAGAAATGTCGTGGCCTTTTTTAGTCAAAAGTTATTGTCGAAAAACACTTTTCGTAAAAGCAGCTATTTTTGGAGTTTTTGCTCTCTGGAGGCTAAACCGTTGACCTGATATCAATTTTGATGATGACCTTATCGAAAGAAGAGTTCAAGAGCTATCGATTGCTTTCCATGCATTTTTCTAGCTATCATAGTTCCTGAGATAAATGCATGTTTTCTTAAAAATATAATGACGTTTGGCAAATTTTGACCTTTGATGACCTCCAGTGACCCTAATATTGCTCTAAGATGAAAAATGACAGAAATACTTTCAAACGTACGCATTGAGAGCTGTCGTTCGCTTTTTATCGCGTCTTTCTAGCCCTCTTAGTTTTTGAGTTAGAGGTGGGTGGTAACATATGCCCCCCCCCTCCCTCCACTAGGGCGAAATTGGCTGAGACCGCCACTGGGTCGCGGGTTAAGAATTAGCTGATTTTTTTTTTTAATTTAGTCCGAATGGTTGAATGGGAGGATTTGAGGAATCAGAGCCCGCACTAAGCATAGCTTGTTGAGCTGACCCTGACCCCACCACCCGATCGCGCAATTCCAGTTGTATGGCAGAATTTAGTCCGAACGTTTAACGTGCCCTCACAACTGGACACGGCCCCCTCTGCTCACTCACGTTACCTGGCCTCTGTGCGGCCCCTGCCACAGACACGCACGCCATTACACGTAGGAGCTAATTGCTGGCCGCCCTCATTGCTGGCAGCCAAGTCATTGCTGGGGCTTGAACCGGGCTCTCACCATCGACTAAGCGTCGAATTCCGGCGCTTTTATCCACTTGGCCACGAGGCACGAAGAGCACAAATATCACATTGATAGCGATACTGAAGATACCGAAATATTGCATATATTTCGGTATCTTCAGTAGGAAACAGGAATGCAACCTTTTTGCAAGATATATGTAGGGGAAAGTGGGTGTATTGCGCCCTCCTTACCAATTGCGCCCACCAACATTCCCACGAATTCAATGGCATGTTTTGAATTTTGTGTTCGAAAACATTATTTTCCCCACTGGATAGTTCCTTTTATGGCCCAAGCTCCCCGATGAAGCCAATCAGCAAGGCTCATTACGCCATCAAAGATGTTTTGGCGTTTTCTTAGCTTTTTTGCAGTGTTTTGAACCGTTGGCTATAAAAATGTGTGATATTTGTTTGATTTTCAGAGTGATATTTAGAAAGAAAACCCTTTTTCATTATATTTCACTAAAACAGTTAATTTCCTTCAACATCTTTATGGTAACTTCCACGCTTTTATTAAAAAGTACCTCAATTTTAATTGCGCCCATGGCAATTGCGCCAGGGGGGCGCAATTAGAATAATGGTGTAGCTATTGTATATCACGACAGCATGAATGCATCATTAACTGATTGCAATAAAGAAGGAGTTTAGGTAATGTCAGGCAGGGGAGCAACCCGCTGTCGTCAGTCCGCAAATTATTTCTCTCGTCAAACTTATAATGCAGCTGCCATTTAGGCTACGAACTTGTGTAATTGACAAAATACGACATTTTAAACATGGACTCAGGCGTGAGAGGTGACAGCTATGATAAAAAAGTAAAAACTGATGTCATAAAACTGTCGAAACCAAAAAAATTATTAATTTTGAGAGAAAGGATTGGAAATATAACCGTATAGGCGCATACGTTCACATATATCTAGTCGGTTACAGTAAACGTTTTCGTTACACTTTAACAAGCGTACGAACACATGTAAAGTTATCTACCTGGGCAAAAAAACATCGCGATTTACACCTACATTTATTATTTAACCAGCGTGAATAACATTATGAATGTTAAAGTAAGCCGCAATGACATTAGACTGCCGGGGTGTATGCATTCCGCCTCATTCGCTTAGCCATGTTAAAGTATAGGGCGCAATTGGGTTCTAATTGCGCCATCCCCCTGGCGCAATTTACAGCAGTTGTTGGCAAATGCGCCCTTTTACATGTTGCTGAAAAAGCAGCTGTCAGACGCAAACGAAACATTCTTAATTGATCGGGAGGCTCTTAAATCGTAGCCAATGAGTTCCTCTTTGAAATGGTCACCAATGCATGCTTATATCTCCAGTGGTTTTCTTACAATTAGCGTTTTTCTTTAAGGTGGCGCAATTCACCCTCCTTCCCCTATGCGCCTTTGCATTCATACTTTATATATTGTAACATGATAATATGACATTACACTAAGACACAAAAATATGAAATTATGTATTTAGGTTAAACACAATAAAAATATATTTATATTGCATTTATGCATAGGGTAGAGTGGGGCAAAGGGCCCAGGGCGGGTCAAACGCCCACCCCTCTTTTTTATGAAGTGCTCGACTTTTCGAAGAATTCTCGATAGCCATTTTCAAGAACGAGCAGGAATCTACTTTTGCCCCCTTTTTCGGATCTACAAGTGGGTTGTTCTGGACGTAAGATAAAGATTAGTTTATTTCAGACAATTTTTAGATATTACATGTTTTCATACTACTAAAACTTTGTCTGACAGAGATTAAAGTAGGCAATGAAATTTAGCTACGCAGAACCTGCGGATTTAAGCTACGTTTTGAGCATTTACTGGTTTGCAACACAATCGTCACACGCTTAATTTTGGTGGACTTCGTTTTGAATGTGCTGTTGGGGTAATACGCCCACTTTGGTGTGGGACAAAACGCCCATCATGGGCGTTTTACCCCTAATGGGAGTTATACAGTACGGGTATTTGCGAACATTTTTGGCTGAAAGTGAGTGTCGGGATACGTTTCTACTGCTCAGGATTCTTATGAAATATGCAATATACTGGTTAGTATCGCCTGGAACAATTTATTCGCACGAACTAATCTCCGCTCTTTAAGGCGGTGACAGCCCGTTGACTGAATGAGGAGTGGGGTGGTAACAACGGTGTTCAAGATGTGTTTGGTGGTGTAATCTATTGATTTAAAGTCAAACGAAATGAGAATGGATAAATACTGCATTCTTTTGTCAGAGTACCGAGCGTGTAATGAAACGTTCAGGACTGGGCGTTATGCCCCACTCATATGAGCGTTATGCCCCATGGGTGGGGCAAAACGCCCGATTTGTAGTCCTCTCAATTCGGATGGCATATCTCAAAAACCATGCTTGCCACTTGTTTCTGATGTGTTATTCGAAGAAAGCCAAGGTAATGAGCTACCAGATCAGCTACCTAGTTGTCTTTCAAATTTGTAAGATAAAGAGATACTGGGGCTGGAAAGTTAGGGTGGGCGCTTTGCCCCACTCTACCCTAATTAGGGGCGATTAATCGGCAGTTCTTTCGGCTCCCGACAGCAGTTGAGTAAAGCTGTTTGATGAACTTGAATTTAAACGTTCAATATGACAGAGACCTGCGAACATTGTATGTCTGCGGGCAGTCTTTTAATAAAAGTTACTTTGATAATGCTTCTTCTCTGGTGAAGTTAGAAAGAAGCTTCTGTTAGGAAACGAGTGAGTAGCGGCGTGCTATACATATAGGAATGTCAGACTATAAACCTACAGAATAGTGTTTGCTCATTGAGAAACTGGGGTGTGATATTTTTACCATATTTGCTAAAAAAAATCACAAGTAGGCAGTTTTGCATTCAAAAATTAAACGAACTTTATTTTAGCACCAGTCTTCGTGCTGTTTTACTTCAACTATCATTCGCCAACGCCAAATACCCAGGGGCTGTGAGAGCTGCCAACAACGCCGGCCCGGCTTCTGCCTCATCTGTTCTCCAGCCAAGTCATTCATCCGCACTGACACGCGAGGCGACTTCCCCGGGCCCTGTCCCGTCCCTTTAACGGCCTCCCCTCGTCGTTATTGGTGCGCCTCTTGCTGAGTCGCCTGGCGGAAATGGGTGAAATTAGTGGTTTATTGGTATTTTATTCATTTTGTTCGATTTTCTAGGCATCGGTTGCCTCCCACCGAGAACGCAGTCAAAAACCCAAATGAGACTTACCAGGGAAGTCCGGTGTAGGCATTTGATGCCTAAAGGTCTTTACACATGCCTACTGCAGTGATTCAAATTTTGGGCGCAAAATGACCTCAGGAGTCGGCGCACCCTAAAGACCCAATAATCAAACAAGTGATTCAAATTTTATTTTCGGTCGTTTACAGCCAAAGACAATTAAGCATTTTTCAGAATATGGAACAATAATCGGACACGCGCATGCCCAGATAACTTTTGACGGCTAGTTGTAATGCACTTAAAGAGATGCACGTCTTCCACCTTTACGCATACAGCTAAACGGCTGTATGCATATTTCAACACGCGTTTATACCTATCCACTTTGCCTTTACCGATATATTACCTACCATCATTTTCCAGGGCGCATGTCATGCCAACCGGCTTCAGAAATGCATCATTTCGCCCAGCTAGACGGTACAGGCCGGCGGGAACTGACGGGCCAGCTGGTTAGCCTCGCCAAAGACACACGTCAAGATGCCCCGGGCGGCCCAGCACATGACGAACTCGCCCAGGGACTGGGTCTCGCCGCAGGCATTCACAGTGCGCTTCAGAACACCGGTGGAAGAGGAGCGACCGGCGCCCGGAGCCGAGCTGACCGCGCTCTTCAGGTGGGTAGCGTCCAGCGCGCCATCTTCGGTCTGGAAGTCCTGCAGCAGACAGGTCACCTGACTGACAGCGGAGGAGAAACCGTCTCCAGCCGCCGCGCCGGCCAGGCTGCGGCTGCACTCTGGCCAGGTGCGGCTGGTGATCAGCCCGTAGGCGTCCAGCAGTTGGCTGGGACTCATCGGACACTGACCGGTGAGGAAGCGCGACAGACGCTCTCTGCCCTTGTCGTCCAGTCTCATCTCGTGCGCCTGCTGCACGTCGCAGGCGGCGCTCAAACTCCAGCGGAGGCACGCGTGGACGTACACGGCCTGCTGGCGGGGCAGCAGGTCGATGTCGGCGTCACCGATACACATTGAGAACAGCTCGGCTCTGGTTCCCGACCAGTTCGGGCCGTCCTCATCCCCCAGCGCAGTGCGTCGGAAGGCACTGAGGTCGAACTGCGTCCCGGCAGCATCAAGCTGCTGAAGGCTGAAAGAGAAATAAATGGTTCATGCTATAAGCACTTGCAATCTAGTGTTGGCACAGGCGTTCTTCATTGTTATGAAATGAAATATGCTTGCCTACTTGAGAGAAGCTACTTCACTGTCACAACATATCGTCATCGGATTAAGAGTAGAAGGACAGTAGGCTAGAAGCAAGATGTCGTTGATGCGTTTATTGCATGCATATTGCATAGAGCCCCTATCCTACCCGCCCCATGCTTACATCATCCTTTCGGAGGTAGACACACTCGAAGTTATTGATACAGGCATATGCGGAAGAAATATCACGTATTCCATCCCCGCACTGTTGCGGACAAATTTGCTGCATCATAGGACAATAATGCCGAATTATGTACACATGGATGTATAGCTGCAGTTTTATATATCGTGTGCTTATTGCTTGAGTAGTGAGTACTGCCTCACACAGCGATGGTCAATGGTCATAGCTCGCACAATTGTCTCAGGACAGTCACACAAATATTTGTCAAAAACTACAGAGCTCTACGGAGCATGATACACACCAATTAAAATATGATAGGTAAAAATTCAACTGAATATATGATAATATTCATTTCAAGGAAGATAATAAAACATATGATGTGATCGCGCATACTAAGATCCGCCTACATATATTTGTAGATTCTTTGATGGTCGTAGATAGAAACCAGTAAGTAGAGATTTCCAAAAACAGATCTCTGAAATTCTTACCGATTGGCCATGCAGATGTAGTAGCGTCCAGCATACGGGACGCCGTCACAGGCATCACCGTGACTTCCTGCAGCCGCCCTGACCTCGCACTCCGTCCTGGCGGCCTGCAGGGCCTGGTGCTCCGCCTCGGTCAGGTCAACGGTGTCGGCAGCACAGTTACGGGAGAGTAGATACGCGATGTCGACCACGTGGCCGGTGGAAAACACCGCATTGCCAGAATCTGTTCGAGGAACAGTTTCATGTTAGAGCGTTTCAGTCTTAGAGAAAACAATACCGTGATGCAGTGACATTTTTTCACAGATTTCCGGCCTTCACTTGTCAATGGAGTGTAGCGCTACTGGTGGCAATGGCAAATAAACATAAACACAGATATAGTGTCATAAACCTACACCTTTTCACAAAAAAAAAACACAAACACCATGCCACTGAGCAATGAGCATTGAGGTAGCATACCACGGCCAGTATCCACTCATTGCCGTGACCTCGTCATTAGCAACACACCGGTAACGAAGTGCAGGGACCGGAGAGTTGACACAAATGCAAACACCACAGACATATGCAAGGACATTAGTCTTTGAGACCTCCATGACTCGGCAGACAGGTTGCGTGTCTCGCGGTAGACCGATTAGTATTTACCCCTGCCCTCCAGCAATTTCATCAAACCCTATCCGTGACCGTGTAAGACAGAGAGGTCAGCACGCTTGAATTACCTTGACAGGAGACCAGTGCCAGCAGGGCGGCGGCGAGGCCAAGTTGAACCGGTCGAGCCATGACGGGCGGCGCTGTAAACCAGAGGAGTCCTTGTCGTTCAGTGTCGTCCGTCTGTCCGCTCACGGCCCCGGTGCAGCGTCGGCACGCAGCTGAACCAACAGCGCTCGGCTCCAACCAGGAGGCAGCACCAATCGCCGCGGGGAAAACATGGCCCGTAGGAACACTTGACAGTACAGTGTGTTTCCTCAGCTGTGTACCATACATAGGCGGTCACCGAATCCGCAAAAGGGCAGGCAAGTGCGAGTTCAGGATCGCATAGGGAAGCACTTACTGTATTCGAGATATCATTTGAAACTATGTACAGATCATTTGAGAGAGCTGTTTATCCCATTTTAATATCATCAGGTGTAAAAATTAAAATATGTGTTACTGGTGGCATTTTTTCCTCTTTTTTTGGCTTTCAACGAAGCAGTTAGTAGTGTTTCATCCTGAAATTGGAGCTTATATCCGTTCAGTCTGACTAAGATTTATTCGTTTTGTCCAGTTGCTATATATGTACGAGTATGTACTCATTGCGGCAGAAATCAATTTGGGCTTCTGGTGCCAGATTATCTCTACTCCAACTAGTCGTTTACAGCGAATGATTTACAAGGTACAATATACATGTTGTTTTGGTGGTATGCATGAAACACAATAGCAATAGCATGTAAAACATGCAGTTTTTAGAATATTTGATACTACGCTTCTACGCTTCAATATCTAACACACACGATCGATCCAGCCAGCTTGCCGATCCTATTCCACTCACAGACCGATTGGGATTACACTGAATTGATTTCAGTCCATTTCTTCCCTACCATTTGCAAGCGGTCACGCCCTAAGATTTATTCCGCCAATATCGGATTTCTGTGTCTCGGCCTGATTTGAATTTATTGACTTGTGGGGACCGGCCGACCAAGTCTGGCGCCTTCCCAGCCTCACGCCACGCTGTGAGGCATCAACAGACCGCGGGGAGTCGGGAAGGGAGGGCTGGTCTGTATATAGTTGGAGATCTGCTGTGGGCAGCGATACACCTAACAGCGATATAACTATAGTGTCGACGTCAAACAGCTTTGGATAGGTTCAATGCATTAAAAACGACTTGTTGTAAACGGCAAACGATGCTTTGTGCAAAGCAATGTCAGAGTTTATATGATAGGGCTTGCCTAAAATTGAAAATCTTAAGTGATACTTAAAGATATAATCTCAATGTGACATTAGTTAAAAAACAGAAAAAAGAAAGACGGCAAACATGTGTAAAAAAAAATACATGCACTCTTCAAGGTCAGCAGCAACAGAGCTGATCTGGTGCTAAACACTTTTATATATCTAAATTTCAAGAAGATTTTTGCCTAAAATATTATGAGAGATTTGAAATTTAGGGCACACTGTAAACAAAGTTTAGCACCCATGTTTTGAAATGCAATGCCGAAAACGTTCAACTGTGTCTGTCGTTCCGTCGAGAAGCGGTTCGCCCACAGTCGGGCTGGAACCCGGGCCTCTGAGGCCGGTTAGCGCCGTGATTAGGTCCAGTTTTTGCCTCCACACCACCTCAGTGCTGCTCCAACTCAACAGCACGTATCCGGAAGGAAGAAACGAGTCGACCGAGTTTTTACAGCGCAGCGTAGAGCTCCAGCAGCTCCGGCCTTGTGGCTCGATCAACAACTTCCTAACTACAGTTTGATTTCTTAAAATAAGACTCCTGATTTGAGTCGGATGAGTGAGCGCGAAATGAGCGGCTTTTTATTTTTAGCGTCTCGGTTGTTGAAGAATCACCGACGTGCCAATTGTTCTCATACAATTAGTTGAGCATTAAGCACTTATGGTTTATGTTCAAGTTTTATTATATACTCCGGCTAATAAGTTATAGTGAAGAGATATTTAGAGGTTGCCATATTTTTGATGAAGTGTCATTGTGCTCATTGAAGTGAAGATATGTCTATTGTCTACTCTAAATGACCCGTCAAGCTGCACGGGTCACCAGACGGCAGATTATAAACGCGGCGGGCTGCAGAGTGGCTGTCTCCATGTACGGCGAACAGAGACGGCGTCACAAATCTGCCGTCCGGGGAGGGCGAGTCGCCGTAATTGGTATCGATTTCCGCCACCGGCTGTCTTTAAGCGGATGATAATTGCGCACCGTGTCCTCGACGTAAGCAGGCGATTTTGCATCAGGCCCGTTAGCTGGGGGCGTTTGTGCCGTGTAATTCGGGAGTGGCAGCCGCGCCGCGCCGGCGCCCTCTGAGAGGGACTATATCGGATCCCGCCGGCCGGAGGGCACCCAGTTCGGGGAGCGCCCGCCAGCCTGGAGCCCTCAGCCAGACAGCGCCACTAATTCAATTGGCTTGAAAGCGTACTTACCGCACGCCAGTAAGAGCACACCGAATAAAGCCCAGCGGCGCACGTACTTACGACCTTTTCAAGTGTGCAGTGTTGAGTTCACACTCGAGTTCTCTGCTCAAAACATCGGTAACCTGGTTGAAAGGAATGCTTGGCGGTGCTTGGCTTTTCCAATGTTTGTGTCGGCCTCACAAGGCAACGAAAGATCATTTGAGATAATTGAATGCAACGAAATCTTCAATGAAGCTCTCAAAGCTGAAAATTGTCTGATTTTGTGTCTGAATGTGTTCCAGAGCAGCTTTAGCCAAATTTTCGTTCATAACGATTCAAGTTTCCTTTTTATGCCATGAAAATAACAGTTCGCTTATAAATGTACATACACAGCGGGGCCATTGCCCTGATTGGCCCTAGATGTTTCAGCCATGCGAAATATGGATAGAAATATTTCAAGACCATAAATTCCATGAGGCTGGCATTGAAAAGTTCAGGAAGTGGCAGCAGTGGTAGACTGCGCCGCGGCACGGTGGTGCTCTGCGGTACAGCCTACCTTCCAGTCGTTCCCGAGTGGTTTCGCTCACAGCACGTCTGCGCTAACCACTGAACTCTATGCGCTGACAAAAAGAGCGCATGAAGATCCTGCTCTCAGAAGATGACCGGGTCCCCCAGTCTCTTATGTGATGAACAGCCATTCTACAGCGGATCTCAATCTTTCCACAATCTACTTAGAATCGTTCTTGGATACTTTTCGTTCTCGGATGGATACTTTTTTCTCTTGGTTGCCGATTTCTTTTGCGTGTGCCATGTCTTAGAAAATTTCATTGTTGTTCGTCTTTAGTTTCCAACGACTATACATGCCTAGAACACACTTGGATTATCTTTCTTTCATTGCTTGATCCTGCAAATTCTGGAATATTTTTTATTGAACAAAAGAAATGGATATGGATATGCAGACTCCAAATAATGCAGATAGGATGATTCAGCTCGGTCTTGCTCTATGCAAATCAACCATTCGGAGTCTCTAAATGCACAGGCTAATTTTATTTGACGCCACATTTATAATTTGATGAGAACACTTTTTATTTCATTGTGTTAATATTTTCTCGTTTATCCCAATAGCACAAAGTTATGCCCGGCCTGCCTTACTCAACGACTCTCCACTGACCCTCCCCCAGTTTTTCCCCACCGCATAGCCATCTTGCTTGGTCCTATCCCAGCCCTTCCCCGCAGTCTTGAACCATTTCTTATCCCACCTCAGTCTTCAGCTTTCTACCCTTCTCTCTTCTCCCCTTCCCTCCTCGGAGTCTCCCTTATCTCCCGAGTCTCTCTCCCCCTTCGCTAGCGCCACCTGCACAACACAGCGCACATCCAATAAAAATGCATGGGATCCGGTGTTGAGATTGTTCTGCCAGCTTAGTGGCTGACGCGCGGCTCAGGCGGCGGCGTTGTAATGCTGGTCGGACGGGGCAGCGGTGGTCCGCCGACGGCCGACGATCACCCTCTATTAGAGGTGGGGCCCACGACTGTCGGCACCGCTGGCCCGCGCTGAGCGGGGCTGCTCGGCGCGCGGCTGCCACCGCCAGTCGACGCGCAGCAATCGTCTAATCGTCGGTGGGCTCCTAACAAGATTGCGGCGGTTACAGGCTTCCCGACGGCCACAGCGGTGGAACGAGGTGATTCCAGTCGCCCGAAGCCCTTCCGACCTCCTCAGGCTAATTGATATAATCAGTCGGCCAGCGGGCGGGCCGGGGCTTCTCTGTGTGTACGGACGGACGGAGGCGGTGGATAGATAAGGGGATCGGTGCGCCGACGACCCCGCGCCGCCCGCGGCCACCGGGGCCCGATTTCAATATGAATGTGCGCTGCGGGACGGCCTGTCAGTGACCCAGACAGATAGCCATGATCAATGGCACTGTCCCGTCCCCCGGCGCGCAGCTGGCCTCATCCTGTACGCGCCAGCACCGAAATTACTCCACCCGTAGATTAGGTCACACGGCCGGGGTGTCATCGTGAAGGCGGCAGCGACTCAGAATTCAGAACCCATCAGCAGCGCGCATCCTTAAACTCGCCATAGCCATGGCTGGCTAATATGGATGATGTTACGTAATAGCCGTTTTCACGACGGACTATCCGGCGAGTGCTCCTAATTTGACCAAATCTGCACCTAATCTGCACCAAATGTGCACCAAATGTGTACCAGATGGCCGTAGTGAAAACGGCTTATATGGAGTGTTGCATTGTTTCATGCCATTTTACTGCTCATTATTATCCTACACATTCGTTAGGTACACACATTTAATAATTTACACCAAAAAGGCACGAATTCAAGAAGAGCGTTACTAAAGGCTGAGGCATCTTTTTTTTTTAACGAAATTTGCCCTTATAGCTAGAAGTGAACTGGTTTGCGACTTGCGAGTTGCAACGAACGGTATGATTCACACTTCACAGGCATGCACGGTCAACGTACTATTCGCAACAGTTGCTTTCACTCTGCAGGGCTGATTAAGATCAAGTGTAGGTACCATTGCCAGGATGTTAATGCAATGCACATTGCGCATCTCCCTAGATATACGATGCTTCTCAGGGAAGATAGCTTCGCAAAGTTTGCAATATTCCTCTGGAATATTAATGAACGTGAAATCCGCCAGTAAAAGGTTTCTAAGCCAAGCGAGTTTCAAACTTTTGCCAAATGTCTTTGACCCGTTGCAATATTTCCAGCGGCGGTCGCCTCGCATGTC